ACAGTATTTCCACAACTTGCTCTAACCAAAAGATTGATTCAATTTTTCACATACATATTGATCCTATGAATTTTGAAGAGAATTATAATTTTAATAACATTAATGATAAATGGTTGGTCAATCTTAGTGATATTCAAATACCAGATAATATTAAAGCTATTTTACAACTAGGACCGAAATTTAATTTGTCGAATAATTTAATTAATAAAGATAGAATTTATATTGAATTTATTAAACACATTGAATTTAATATGTTCAAATTTGATGAATCTATAAAAAAAGTTATTAGAAATGATACTATTCAAATATTAAAAAGAAATACAATTTATAATGGTGGAACAAGTGTAGTGGATGACTTATTGAAAGAAGGAATGATAGCAACAAAAAAATTTATGGCACAACATCCAGATATTCTTATCACAAGAGCTGATAAAGGGAATTCTACTGTAGTTTTAAATTTAACTGATTATAAAGAAAAAATGCATGAAATTTTAGCTGATCCGAAAACGTACACTAAGATTAAGAAAAATCCTACGAAAATGATTACCAACCAAGCTCACAAACTATTGGCTAGGTGGAAGAGCATGAAATACTTAGATCAATACGTATATAAAAAACTCAATGTTACTGATGGAGATTTGCCGAGGATCTATGGGTTGCCTAAGATACATAAACATGGTCATCCTTTGAGAATTATTGTAAGCTGCATTAATAGCCCATTATATCCACTAGCAGTATTTCTCAAAGATATTATTGACAAGAGTTTAAAAAAGGAATATGGATACATTAAAAATAGTTTCGATCTTACGAATAAACTTAATGGTTTAGCCTTGAAGGATGACTACAAAATAGTATCCTTTGATGTAGTATCTATGTACACTAATATTCCTGAGGAATTGGTTGTCAAAAGCATAGAATTGAGATGGAATGCCATCGCAAGTAATACCAATATTCCGAAAAAAGAATTTTTAAATGCCATCTCTTTAATTTTTAATTCTACGTTTTTTAAATTTGACGAACTTTTCTTCAAACAAATTTTTGGCATGCCCATGGGCTCTCCTTTATCTCCTATCTTAGCAGACATTGTAATACAGGACCTGGAAAGAGAATTATTATCAAAATTGAATTTTAACATACCAATTTTTTACAGATACGTTGACGACATTATTTTATCTGTTCCTATTAATTATATTAATGACATTTTACAGGTTTTTAACTCATACCATGACAGATTGAAATTTACCTGTGAACAAAATGACGATGGATCTATTAATTTTCTAGATGTCAGTTTGAAAGTGGAAAATGGACACATTATTTTTGACAATTTTAAAAAACCGACTAATTCTGGACGATACTTGAATTTCAATTCTAATCATCCTTTAGATCATAAAAGAGGTGTGATTATTGGCCAATTGGATAGAATAATATTTCTATCACATCCTAAATTTCACACTAGAAACATTGAAATGATGATTAACAATTTTTTAAACAATGGCTATCCTTTGGACTTTCTCTTTTCTACGATTAATAAAAGAATCAATACTTTGTCTGGTCGTAAAAATGTTTATAGCAATTCTTGTTCTTATCAGAACTCTAATTCGGTCAACTTTGATAATTTTTTCATTGTTCCTTACATTAAAAACGTATCGGAAAAATTTAAATTTGTGGCTAAAAAGAATAACCTTAAAGTTGCCTTTAAACCTATGAATAAACTGAATACTATCATAAAAACAGGCAAAGATAGATTAAAAACCATTGAACATAGTAATGCTGTATACAGAATAGACTGTCTTGACTGTGACGCTTCTTACGTTGGTCAAACGAAAAGAAAAGTTGCGACTAGAATTTCCGAGCATAAATCTTGTGCTCGGAAGTCTAGTAATCTACATACTGTAGTTGCAGAACACCAGGTTCAGCTTGACCATAAATTTGATTGGGATAATATTAAAATTCTTGACATTGAGCCATTTTTCCACAAAAGACTGACTTCTGAAATGATATATATTAAAAAACAAATAAATGGTATTAATAAACAGAACGATACAGAGAAATTTCCAGAAATTTATTTACCGTTATTAAACACATCGGTTAAATCTTGATCTAGAATGTTCCACTAGCGACACTGAATTCGGTATAAATTCGGTCTGCCATGGTCTGACTCGATCATTCTGTTCTTGACTTTTATTTTATACTCTTCAATTTTTCCAATTCCTGTATCTGCTCCGCAAACTATTGTTAACACAGGTATTTTAATTTATTTTACAATTTACAGCGTAATTTTTTTATATTTTCAGTTTTTTTTTTTTATTTCTTATTTATACTTACATTAGAATCGGGAAATTTTGTGCGCAATAATTTACACCGCGGATTCTCACTCAGTTTGACGTATTGATATACTATCCACTTAACTAACTACATTTTTGACTCGCTGCGAATCTGCGCCTTCAAACATTGGAGATGTTTTTTAAGAATTCTTCACATCAAAAAAATTGTATTGTGCGTTGACTATCGTTTATTTCTTATTGACTTATGTTTGCGAATATTAATATTTATTTATAACTCTCATTTCGTTTTATTACTGAAGATGGTCTGATTTAAGACCGAAACGTCTATTATATGTATATTAACTTTTTAAATATATATTTATTCGCTGCTTACATCTTGCGTTCGTAGTTTAATGCCTTTTATTTATCTTATTTTGTTTAAAATTTGAACGACGTTTTGATCTAATTTGAATCATCACTCTTATCAGACGTTCGATCAGAGTATTTGCAGTCAATTGTATCTACGATTTCTTCGAGAAATAGATTGGAAGACAAAATATATCCAATAATAAGTCGTGTGAGTCATCTCAGTTGACCTTCAATCGCATTATGTCGTTGACTCTCGCGTTGAATGGAACAACCAGTATCCTCACAGCGAGTTACTTCCCTGCGTTGGATTTAAGTAATGAATACGAATTGGGTCTTACGAATTTTGAAACGTACAACGCAATACCGAACGTTACTTCCGCGAATAATAAATTCTACTTCGATACCGACGATAAAATAATCACGATTCCCGAAGGATCGTACGAATTGAGTGCTATAAACAGGTATCTGAGAGCTGCTATTCGTCACGTACGACGACAAACGCTTAACGATAAGGGTAATAGTGATGATGAGTACATATACGACGACGACGACAACGATAATGCTCATAAAGAAGAGATACTGATTCTTCGAGCCAATGAGAACACTATGAGAAGCGAGATTAAATGTGCGTATCGAATAAATTTTACAACACCGAATAACATCGGTTCGCTATTGGGTTATTCAAAATCGCGCGTATTACAACCGAACAAGTGGCACGCGTCTGACAAACCTGTGAATATTATGAATGTAACTATACTTCCTATAGAATGCAACATTACCGCGGGTGCGTACAATAACGATAAACCAGCACATACGATACATGAATTCGCAGTGAACGTTCCACCTGGATATAAATTATCCGATACTCCCACACATGTCATTTATCTCCCAGTCGTTGCGAGAAACGTTACCGATATAACGATACGTATAGTGGATCAAAACGGACAATTGATAAACCTTCGTGGAGAAGAGATATCGATTCGACTTCATATACGACGCAGACGATAAAAATACTCAGATGCTCGTTCTAAACGAGTCACACGATTGTAAGAATACGTCCATCATACCGCAGACGTCGCAATTATCATCGCTCACCGAACGATACGTTGGAAGAAAACGGAGAAGAACAGAGGAGTGATTGAACGCTGCGAACGTCAAATTTCTACGGTCTCTGGGATTCGTCGTGAACAATGAGTCGCGATATTCTAAACATAGGGGGTGAGCCTATCTTCGACGATCGTATCGTTAAGATCGAGACTCACACTTACAACCCATACGCTAACACCACATTCGGATACAGCGATGAAATACGAATACCTATACAGCATCAGGATCTGTACACGTTACCGTGTGAGAGTTTTCTTTACGTCGAGGGAAAATTTTCAACGACAAAACGAGATGGAAACACATCCGAGGAACAACCTCCAAAATTGTCGAATAATTGCGTCGCGTTCATGTTCGATGAGATTCGGTACGAGTTAGACGGTGTGGAAATCGATAGATCTAGAAACGTTGGTATTACCAGTACGATAAAAAATTTCATATCGTTAACCACTGGCAGGAGTATAACGTTAGAAAATGCAGGATGGGACGGCACGATGCAGTTATTTCGCACACCGCTTTCCGAGAATTTCAACTTTTGCGTACCACTCAACACACTCCTAGGATTTTGTGAGGATTACAAACGCATAGTGATAAACGCGCGACACGAACTTATCCTGATACGTGCGCGTAACGATAACAATTGTGTTGTGGCGCACGAATCGACGGAACCTAAAATCACACTATTAAAGATACAATGGAGAATGCCACATGTAGTGCTGAACGATGTCAATAAATTATCACTTTTACGAACGTTGGAAGGTGGACGATATCTCAGCGTATGTTTCCGGTCGTGGGACCTGTACGAATTTCCTCTGCTGCAAAGCACAACGAAGCATTCGTGGGCTGTTAAAACAACGTCGCAATTGGAAAAACCACGACACGTAATTTTTGCACTTCAAACCGGAAAAAGAAACGTAACGTCGAAAAATGGTTCACAATTCCACATATGTAATCTCACTAATGTGAAACTTTTTTTGAATCCTGATTTTTATCCTTACGACGATATGAATTTAGATTTCGAACACAAAAAATACGCTATACTGTACGATATGTATGTAAATTTTCAAAAGACGTACTACGGTTACAACAATCGCGATTCTATGTTATCTATCGGAGAATTTCTTGTACACGGTCCATTCGCGCGTAGTGATCGATTGTTCTCGCCAAAACGAATCGATAAA